CCATCTGCCACCCATTGCGGAAGAGCAAACTTAATCCTAGATCGGTTTCCCTCGCGATCGGCCACTCCTACGGGATACTAATGGGCACAGTTTATGCAAAGAAGCAAACTCTAACCCAAGATTAAAAGAATCAACAAAACTATGTAGTGAGAGATTTCAATTGATCAGATGAATTTTTAATTCGATCAGATGAATCTTTAATAAAGATTTTGGTGGATTTTAAAGAGTCATGAACATTTGTCAAATCTTCAAGAGTTTTGTTGGATTTGTAAACAGTTGCAAAGAAATTTTGTAGATTTAACAAATAGATTTAATACGACAGACTTTGAGAATCCAAAGGATATAAGTAGGATTTTAAAAATCATGATTTATGAGTTAAATCATAAAGAATCCTTATCCCAATAACACTCTATTATAGCAGAATCATAGAATCATTAAAATACAAAGCTAATTGATTTGTCTAATGGAAGAATAAAAGCTAATTGATTTGTCGAATGGAAGAATAAAAACATAGAAGGATAAAAAGATGGGAAAGACAAAGATGATCATTAAGAAGAAGAGAGAGGGAGAGAATTAGAAGAATAAAAACCGGTATAAGAAAACAAAGAAAAACTCTAAGACCAAAAAAAAATCGTAAGAAAAGAAGAAGACGATGAAGGAAGATAAAGAAGAAGTCGAAGATGATGAAGTAAAAGAAAGATCGGAAGGTGAAGGAGAAGGTTACAAATCAGAAGAAGAAGAAGACAATGCATGAAAAGGAAGAAGAGAACCCGGAAGAATAATAACCTAGATAAGAAAAAGACGAAGAATAAGTAAAGTTGAAAGATATAGAAGAGGAATAAAAAAAAGTAAAAATCCAAAATAGATGAAGAAGAAGTTGAAAAACACGATATGACAAAGAATAAATAAATAAATCACCAGAAAAGTAATAAGAAGACAGATGAGACGAAGATGTTGAAGTAGAAAAAGGCGAAGTAGAAATAGAAGTGGAAGATAATTGGATAGAACACGAATTGGAAGAAGGATAAGACAGAGAAAAATAAACACGGATGAAGAAAAAAATACTAAAAAGGCCAGAAGATGAAAAATAAGAAGTTGTAGAAGGTAAAAATGAAGAATGAGACAAAGAAAAACCATAAAGAAGTCATAGAATATGAAGAAGACAACAATAATGAAGAAAAGAACTAAGATGAAGAAATAATATTAAGAAGAAGAGGCCGGAGAAGACGTAAATGATGAAGAAGTTAAATTCTATGACAAAAAGATGAAGAAAAAAGGAAGCAGAAGAATACAACGGGAAAAAGATGAAAAAAAATAAGAAGAGAAAAAAGAGTCATAATTTAACGATTTTTTATTATTAAATATTTTTAATCAGGGATAACATATATTGAATAATAGTTTTTATATATAATAAAAAAACTATGATGTAGTCTATATAGTATATTTTTAATGCATTATTGTTTTCAAATTTAGATCTACAGTTTTAATAAGTGATTTCGTACTTGCTTAGGAGAAATATAAGAACCGATAAGAAAGAGAAACAATTCTGGCGAAACAGTAAGAGAGTTCCGACGATGAAGAGAGATAGTCGTTTGTAATTACAATGTTTGAGACAACAAAACATTATTTATTAAATTATCGAGCAATATGAATTTCATTTGTCGATGATACGACCACATATGAGAAAAACTGCGTACAATCATATATAGATGAAGATACGGATTGAGTGTGTGTAAAAAACTTTCATATAAGCAATAAATTTTGTTGTTGCTGATGAACATGAAGCATTTTTAGTGTCTTATTAATACTGTTGCCAGAAAACATTTCATTTCAAAACAATAAGTATACTTTGAGAGAAATGAGTAATCAAAACTCTAGATACTTTTTATGTTATCGTATAATATATTTGATTTTTAGCGAATGAATTAACTGACTTGAGAATCGAAATGAAATTTGATGAGAAGAATAGTTAAAAAAACTTATTGGTCTATTTGGATAATAGCTACTGAAAAATTTAATTGAAAAAAATAATCAGAAGAAGAAGTCGGAGAAAAAAAACTAATACATAGTAGATGAAGTGGAAGATAATGATATTTTCTAATCAGAATTTTTTTTCTTGATGTGCCGCCTAATGGATTATTCGTACCATTGATAAATATATATATTTTTTAGCTATGAAGATAATGATATTTATGATTAAGATCTTCTTCTCAATGTGCCGCCCAATGGATCATTCCTTCAAGCTGAACTTCTTGACATGACATGAAAGAAGATAAAATTTCTTAAAATTATACTTACCAATATTCGATTTTTACAAATTTTGTAATTAGTTTTGTATACATCGCGTGTCCGCGCTTGGCGCGGATCCCCACCTAGTTTGACATTAAAATTTATTAAAAAAACTATATGGCACAGTAATTAATTAGATTTATTGGAGATAATACATATTGAACAAACATTTGACTGGAACGTAATCTATATGTCTAGTTGAAGGCCCACAATTTTACAGGCAGAATCAATTAAACATATTAGACATAATTGATGTATTGGACATGTTATATATGGACCTCTCCCGTAAATATATATGTAATCATAAAAAAAAAATTCTCAAGACACCAAAAATTACGATCTGCAAATATATGTTCTTGAGCTTTGGTTTTTTTTTTGTCAAATGTTCTTGTGATTTGTTTAATGCATATAAATTACATTATTAAAATAAATACATAATATATTAATAAATAGTTGAAATATTATTATATAATTAAAATGCATCTATGACAATGATAATATGCCTCAAAATATAGTTGTAATATAATTATACTTTACATTATGTATATATATTAAATTTGTAAATTATGCAAATATATATACATAGTAGTGTAGGATAATATCTTAAAATATAAGATATGATAATGTAAATGGCTGTTATGGGAGTGTGTTACCACTATGTGTACTTTTGAGTTATCTAATGTAAAAAAAAAAGACTTTTGTGTTTTAATTACCAAAAGACATACTTTTCTACTATTTGGAGAAGACAAATGACTGTTTTAACCATTTTGCTTACTTATCTATATTATTTCTTTATTTAATATTATATTAATATCACACACTTCCCATAATTGTTTGTTGTTATTTATCTATTATTTAAAAAATAATCGAATAATTATTTTGACACTATAAATTATATAATTTTTTCTTAATACTTTGATACCCATTTTATATTTTTTAACTTAATTTTTTTTGTCGTTTAGTATAAACACATATGTATCCATATAGTAGCGTCCACGTGGACACAAATATATGGATATCTATGCAATTATATAGATATATATGTATATACATACGTATCCATATAGTAGCGTACACGTGAATACACAATATATGGATATATATATATATGTATATCTACGTACATAAAGTATAAATGGATATAACTATATAGATACACACATATATATATATGCATATCTACATGCATATATTATAGATGGATCTAACTATATAAATATATGTGTATATTTACATGTGTATCTATATAGTTACATATATATAGGTGGATCCCGTGTGATTTAATGTGTGAAAACTGATAAATTAAGATGGATCTCATGCGATTTAGTGTGTAGAAGTTGATGAGTGAATTTAAGTGGGTATTGTACGTTTTGGTAAGATAAAAGAAAAAAAAGGGTAAAAAGTTTAAAAATAAGAGCAAAATAAGATAAGTCCACCTGATTCAGAAAGTGTCTTTTTAGCAATTACACTTTCAGAAAATGCACCTAGTGGTAATATTCTCCTGTTATGGTCTAAAATGGTATAATTGTAATTATTCTAGTAATTATAAACTATTTTTAATATAATTATGAGAAGCTCTCTGAGCTTAACATCTCAGTATGACACAATTGTAAATCACACATGACACAAAGGTTCTTTTTAATGTGTTTTTGTAAATTAATAATAAAAAATATTGCACTTTATAATATATATATATAAATTAATTTATTTTGTAAACATTTAAAACACTTAAAATTTGCCTAGATTCCGATTAGGAGTTTTAGACGCTAGGCGTTGTATTACTGTCTGCCTAGTGCCTACCGTTTTCTTGAACACTGAATTTAACAATTTTAATGATATTGATATTTGAAGCTTTTTGTTAGACAAAATCGGTAAATATTTTTTTTTTTTGGAAACAAAACCAACAAAAAAAACTGAATTTTATCTAGTAAAACTAATCTCTAAATTAGAAAGAGAACTGAAAAATAAAACAAAAATGCAAAAGCCAATCGGTAAGCCAAAATAGATAATTAAACTTTTAGGCAAGCCATACAAATTTGAAAGAAAATGACCAAATTAATGAAGGAAGTTAACAGAAATCAAAAAGAAGAAACTGAATCTTTTATTTTATTTAACCTTTGTCTATAATCTTTTCACGAACACACGCGACCAGCAAAACTACGAGAAGAAGATTACACCTCAACATAAAACCTTAACCATTTTGGTAAACAATTTTTTTTGTTTTTTTGTTTAAAATTAGGTGTCCAAATTAATCTTATGAAAGCTAGTGTGACGGACAACGCGCCTCTGAAGTAACGTGTAGCTTACGCGCTAAATTATTGGGAGCATGGAAGCGCGTGCGGATAAGAACCGAAGAACCTTCTGCAAGAATATTATTGGGATTCGATGTGGCTCGAAGCTCGAGGACAGGTCTCAAGCTCTTAAAGGCTAGACGCACTACGCTTTCTTGTTCACGTGCTGCACGTGACCAGTTAAGCGTATGTTTACAATTTACGAACGAAAGCGATTAAGAGGAGCAAAGTCATTTGAGGAGACAGGTGTCGGCGACGGTGAGGATGCATTGTATATTCTGTGCTCGCTAATGTAGATGATTTGTCTCCGTAACCCAAGATATATAATGTGTTATGGGCCGGCTATGGCCCGCTAAGATTTAATCGAGTTGTAATGATTTATATTGTCTTGGGTCTACACTAGATTTTGGCGGTGATACCAAAAAAAAAGTCTAACAATAACATAAACAATACATAAAATGGATCTAATACTCCATTTATAAAGAACAAGATTAAGATTTCAAAATTTGATGTGAAGAATCTTGGAAACTTATTATGAGAGACTCAATTTGCCAAACATTGACAATATCTTAGAAGGGTTATCTTCAAAAGATGTTAAAAATATCTAACTTGGAACAAGCTAAATCAATGCATATTCCATATTTAAGGCTTTTTTTCCGCATGGTTAACCCACTATTGCAAATTATGAAAACAATTACATAGATACTCTTTTTTTTTAAATGAACAAACTTATCTGCCTACAATGAACTAGATACGCGGAAGATTTCACATGCACCTATGATGGACAGTTTTATCTTTGAACATACGCAACCATCATGCTGGAATAAGTTTATCTCAAGATCCTCTGGTACTCAAAACTCCAAACCATATATTGTTGAAGCATTAATGAATCTTTGATAAACCACTAGGCCATGGAGATTCCATTTTTTAAGGGTGCAATTTCAAGAACATTTTAATTGAACAAATAAATGCCTTATCAAAATGAAATGGGAAGTTCAATGCATTTCTTGATAGAAACAAGACCTGATTTGGCATATATCATATTGGTTTGATCAGAAAATTTATGATTAACACTAAGAAAAAGCGGTAGGCCTGATCCTCCTAATACTACTAGGCCAATTATTGTCAATGTCACATGAAGCTTCATTTGTATTGTTATTAGTATTTCTTGCTTTCTTATTATGCATTCTTAGAAAGCTATCTCCTGACTTATTAACTAGTGTAATTTGACATTTGTGTTCCCTTTATTTTAAATACTCATGATTGGCACAATTTTATTTTTCTTTTTATTTTTGAAATACAATGTGTTTTGTGCAAACCGTTCAGGTAATCGCATCGGTTCTATAAGCCAGCTCATGTCCTAAACGTAATTCAAGAATAGAAATTAGTTTCAATTCACTTAATAACAAGATTTAAGAACGAAATGATCACAGGTCAGGGACAACAGAAGACTCAATGCTTCACAAGTTGTTATCTAACAAGAGTGTGCCCCTACGGTTAATATACTGGTAGTCCAAAAGACACTCAAACCCGAATCAAACGGGCAAAACATGGACCTCAAGTCTACCACAAGCTCATCCTCCACGCAAATGAGCACCGAGTTCACCAAACTGATCATCGGCTTCTACAGTGTCGTCTGAGAGACGGACTGCGTCAAGCTTCTGCTTCAGGATATCTATGGCGTTCAGTACCAGCTGCGAAGCCTTCACTGCACCTGTTGATTCAACAGTGAATATAAAACTGTCATCTTTCGGATGGATCTCAATGAGCCCCGGTTTCCCCATGGCTTCAGCTTTCTTAATCACCTCTTCATCGTAAGTGTATGCTTCCGGATCAACCACCACAACCTAAAGAAGCAAAGTATCAAAACAACAATGGTGATGATAGCAAAAGATGATGGTAAAATGCTGCAGTGATCTTTAATTTGATAGCTAATAAAATTCAACAATAAACTGTAAACGAAATGGCATACAAGCTTTTTGATATGTGGTGCACTTTCGAAGTCAACTAAAGTGACTTATATTGTAGTAGGAAGAACAAGAAATATAAAAAATCAAGGTAGACACCGAACCACCAACATGAAATCTCAAATACAAATCCCACTGGTACTTCAGGTAATCTATCCTTTTGCTTCTAACTCCACTTTCCTGACATTTATGGCATCTGTTCCATTGGCATTTCATACAATTTGCAGCGAGTCTACATAGATTTCAATTTGGTACTAAAAGTCTAGCTGTTGTTTTTGATTCATTCAGCTGACTTAAGAAATTACCCTCATAACATCACAAACCAATGTGATTATTTGGTACTAGAGAGCCAAGTAGTGAAATCTAACAGAAAGATAAAGTACAAAATAACCTCAACGCACTAAACACCTAGAGAAAATTCATACACCAAGATCATATATTTCAAAGCATGGAAAAGCCATAAGCTATAAACTCGTAAAGAGGCAACTCTTCCACAATGTCTAAACTAACCTGTCTAGTGACTGGATCAATGCCAAAGACTTTGGTCGGGCTGCTCTCAATCAAGTCAATTTTTTCGTCTTCTGTCAAAGTATCCATCATATCTTCATTAATGTTGATGTCAGGCTCATACATAAACGTAACAGTAGATGCAGGAGACCATTTTGCATGATCTTTCCCAATTCCTTTCCTAGCTATCGCTCTAAGCTTCAATTCTTGTCCCCGGCGCAGCTTCACTATGATAATTCCCCTGAAATGAAACCAAAATAAACAGTCAGGAACCAATAGAGTAAGCTAAAAACAAAAGTCACCAAATAACCAAATTAAAAGATCTAAACAACCAAGAGTCAAACACAAGTGCATCAAAAATCATAAAGGAAGTATTTTTCATCCGTGGATTATTCTGAAATTGTCAGAAAAACGGCGAAAAGATTTTTTTTTATCAGGGTAATGAGGCTAAATCTATAAAACAGTAACCCTTTTAAGCAGTGCCCTAATCTCTAAATTTTCCACTTGACAAAATGATTATCAATTTATCACATTCCTGCATTTAAACAACTTGAAAAAATGATGAAAATGAGATACCTTTGCTCGCTTGAATCAGTTCCAGACGAATCGAGAGTGAAATCGACAGGAGTGACAGTAGGATCAGTACTGTAAAGATCCCTACTAGTGACATCTAGGGTTTGGTCAGTGACACATTTAGCTTGTAGACGAAACTCAACAGAGCAGAACTCACACTGTCCATCTCCATCACAAGAATCGCAATCTCGGGACAAGCGCATGCTCATAGCGCGTTCGCTAGTGAGAGGGATGAGACCTAATCGATGAGCGATGAACTCGTCGTTGAGCACAGATGAGTTAATGTCGATTTCGACGAGATCGATTGCAACGGTTGGGACCTCGGAGATCATAACGCGACGGAGAGCGTTGGCCATTGATACATCGGTCTCACGAAGCTCGAACTTGGCGTAGTCATCTTTAAGCTCACGGATTTTGACCTTTGGGAATCTTTGGTAAGAGGCACCAGTGTCCATCTCAAAGCTCGGAGCTTTCTGACTCCTCTGGAACTTTTTTAGGGTTTTAGCTTTGATGAAACCAGAGGGTTTCTTAACTTTATTCGTCGAAGAAGAAGAAGTCTGCGAGTGGTAAAGATGTACAGATCAGTGGTTTAAGTTGGGCTTTTCGGCCTGTTGTATTTTTTCTTTGATAGTTGTGGCTTTGGGCCTGGTGTTTTGCTTTCCCGTTTTTTTTATTCTCTTACCCGTTACTTGTCCTTTGAAAAAACAAGGACTTGTCTTGTCGTTGCCAAATTGAGTAACAAATAACAATCATTTACATCACATGCATTAGCATCGGCAAGAACTTCCTGGTACTCAATGACATCTCTCTCATTCAGGCCCGGCCTTGAAGGCAGGCGAGGGAGGCGACCGCCGCGGGCATCTACTCTAAAAAAACATATTTTTTATGGTATCCATTATAAAAGGGCATATTTTTGTTTTAAAAAAAAATTATCAGAGATCAAACTCTAGTTTCTCTCGAGTCCAGGTTTGAACCGTTCCAAAAGTATAAACAAATTTTTAGAGTTTTGTTTGATATAAAAAACTAATATCGGCCATCAATGATAGTTTGAAAAAATCAAATTTGGAGGTTTCTTTAAAAAATGGTACACATTCAGATATAAATGGTGATGATCTTATGGAACTGAAAATTATTTGAGTATCAATACCAGATGATGTTCATATGCCTATTGAAGTGCTTAATTTTTTTAAAAAAATGGAAGGTTATTGTCAAAACACAGAAATTGCTTATCGAATAATTACAAACCCTAAGTCTTGTTATAGCCCAAAAAACCCGACTCTCAAACCCACTAAATAAAAGAAAACCTAAATCTAGCTCAATAAAAAACTGTACCGTCCCCCACACCCTCCTAAGTGATTAATCCGCGTCCACCTATGACCTGTTACATTCCTCAGCTCACTTTAGCAAAACCTCTTTAGTTATCTTTATCATCAGAAAACAACAAAAATGGGGTTAGCTTTGTTATCAATTGAGACAGCTATAGTTGAAAAACTCGACTACGACATATTAATGAACGATTTTACACAAAAAAATGAAAGAAGATCTATATTTCAACAATAAACTATATGTTTTATTGGATTTTTTTTTTTACAAACCGTTTATGAAATTTGAAATTGTTTTATAATATTTTTGTTTTATTTTTTTATTATTTTCATTTTGAAACAAATATAAAATGACATATTTAAAAAAGTTAGACGCGGGCATCCAAATTGATCGGTCCGACACTGCTCTCATTGACAGCCTTATCTCAGTGACGCAAGTTGTCGACCCTCGCCTTAGTCACCCCTCTCGACAATGCAAGGAGACATCAAAAAATTTGTATAGTTCTCATCAAATCCCTCACATAGACTCACATACACATCCTCCAATTCTAGTAGAAAACAAATTCTCAGTTCCTAATCAATGCATATTGTTTATTCACTTACAAAGGAAACCCTTAAGAAGTCCTTCTTGCCTTCGTCTTCTTCCATCCAAATCAAGGGATCTACCTCACCGGTTTCCACTAGGACAACATGCTCTTCACTTAAATCAAATAAATAGAAAAAAATTTATAATTGAGTTTATTAAGATAAGTTTTGTTTGTTTCATTAGAACATCAATTGGCACAATTAGTAGTGAAGCTTCTCATTATAAAAGAGGTAGTTTTAAATCTTGGATTCAAAAATTTTCTTGCTATTATTTCTTTTTCCCAGAAGTACGTTATTTTAAAATTTACTAAAAATACATGATTTAAAAAAGTTGGTAGCGCCGACTCAAGATTTTTAGGGTTTTTAAGCTAAAAATATTTGGGCCTTTAAACAAAAAAAAAATAGAAGACTTTTTCTGATTTTGAACTATTTTTTAACATAATATTTTTTCCTCCTTTCTATTATTTTTTTTAGAAATTTGGTTACAGAAATAAATAATATGCAGTAGAACCTCTATAAATTAATACTCGATAAATTAAAAATTACCATAAAATAATAAATTTTGCTGGTCCCAAATGGGACCAATGTAAAAATTCATCAAAGTTGATAAGATAATAATTTTTTTTTTAAAACTCCTATGTAAATATATAGTCCAAAAAAAATACAAATTAATAATTATATAAATTTTGCAAATATATGTAAATATAATATACTAGAATATGACTAATGTGTTTGTTTCACTTAAAGTTGAAATCTCATTGGATTTCATCTCTCTTATTATTATATCAGTAGCTCTTATTGTTGTTTAACGATATGCATTCAAAATTTATGATACATTTTTGATGTGATAATTGATTTCCTTACCTGTAAATATTTTTAAATATATTATAGTGTTATCTTCAATTTTATCATCAATAATATAGATAATATCATACTTTTTATTATAAATTTTAAACTTATGAACATGTATATTCCTACATGGATAATCTAATCTGCTATTAAAAACTATTCTATTGTGATAATTATAATTATTAATCATAATTAGTATTAAGAGATTCCGTTAAAATTTTAAATATAATATTATTTGGAATTTATTTTTAAAAAAATCATAGGTGAAAACTAAATTTCTTTATAAATTAATAATTACTAATTTATATATAAATTAACATCACGAGAAATTAATAAAATATTATGATCTTGAAATTATTAATTTAAGATATTTTACTGTAAATGTAATGGTTGACAATGGTTGACACTTTAGGAGTAAAAAATTGAGTTAAATTGACTATTTCTTTCAATTTCTTTAAAAGTTAACTAGTTGTGTTACATTTATGTTTCTCTAAATTATATTGGACTCCACCAAAAAAGTGGGAAATAAACTTAGTTCTACTAGAATTCGTTTTTCTACAATAAAGAAAAGTAAAACATTAGAAAAAGGCCTAATTACTCTATTTTCTTTCATTATCATTATTCTTTTTATTCATCACATTTTCTCACTCACAACCATTTGCCCCCATTAAAAAAAATACATATCAAAACCTTTTAAAAATAAAAAATTGGGCCTCAAATATCATAGGTCCCAGGGTAGTCGCACCGTTCGCCTTCATAGTTGAGGAATGAGCTAGTACTACATGTAGGAGAAGTGCAAAAAATGGGGATAAATGGAAGAACTTGTGAGGAAGCAACAATGAATTGACATAGTGGTTAAGCTATTGGGTTACCAATAACATAGGGGTCTTGGAAGTTACGGATTTGATTCACTTTGGGAGGAGTCTGCTCTCCAAAGCATAGTTAAATTACATGGTTTGGGCTTCGTCCTGTGGTATACAGGTCTTTGGGCCCAAAACCTCTAAATCATTAAAAAAACATAATTTGTGAGGAAAAAAATACTGATAGAAAATAAAAAAATAAAGGAAAAGAAAATGGATAAACTATATTCGTTCATAAATAGTGTTAATGATACTTTTGCAAATATAAAATACAATGACATTCGTTGTTATAATTTTTCTATGTAAACCTCAAAATTAGTTTTGCACTTTTGGATCAAAGGTTTTGAACAATGACAAAGAAAATGTTAGAGAGAATTACCAGTTAGTTAGATATGATAAAATCAGACTTTACGCAATTACACTAAAGAACATTTAACATTGAAACTGACCAAAAATAAATAACTAGGATATAAAAGCGTGGACACAAACAAAAATAAAATCACAATTGTGATTTGTAAGATTAAGAAAACATCTCGTGAAAATATGGTTTTATTTCATGATATTTTTATTAGGAAAGAAACTGCCATAGATAAAGGGTACATTTATGAAGATCAACGGATCAATATTTTTTAATTAATAACAACAACAATATTCAGGTTCTGAAGGAGATTGAGAGCGACATCCTCCTGCCGCGTACCCTGATGATAAGCAGTCCACATTGCACTCATATGTATTGTATGAAGCCATGCATTTATTGAAGCATTTTAGGCCGTTCGTGACTTTAATCTCTGTCCATATACAGAAATTCCACATTCATATAACGTACTAAATTACAATTTCAAAAACTCATATTATTTTTACAATTTCTCACATTTCTCCATGTTGTTTTATTTTAAATTATATGATTAAAATTATTAATTGCAATAACTATTATATTAAAATAAAACAGACCTAATATCATGGCGTTTTGGGTGTACAACGAAACATCCAATATAACTACAAGAACAAAAATTGCTAAAATTTTTGCGTAACTCATTTTCTTTTTGTTTATTTTTTGTATTAAGTCTATTGAAGATAACAAAATAATCTTGAAATTTTCAGATCTTGAATAAGCCAATTTATAAAACTCTTAATTTTGGACTAAACACATAAATAACTATTATATTTTGTTGACCAAGAAAAAATCCATTATTTTATTTCCTTCAAAATGTTAATATTTACACGACTTTCTCTATAATTACCTTTGATATCTTACACATTTGTGAACATCATATTTTAGGTAAGAATAAATTGATTAGTATTAAAATTTAGAGAAAATTTGGAAAAATACCCTTAAAATAGTTTAGATTTTGAAAACTACACTATTTTAATATATTTTTTAAACTACACTTATTTATATATGAAATGACTAGATTAACTTAAATAAAATATGATCATAATTTTAATTTTACATTATAAATTTTATTAAAATAATAAAAAATAAATAACAATTTACAGTATTTTGTAAATTTGTTCTCAACACATTAACCAGAAAAACTATCTTTCTTTCGTGTAATTTTCAACTAATCAAAGTTCTATATTTCTTGAATCAACATCGATCTAAATTTGCAGCCGTCTAGTTTAAAAGATTTTGTTTTATCAAAAAAAAAATTGATCTAATATACCATGAATTTGTTTGTCTGTTGAGAACATGCAGCAGCTTGAGAGTCAATAATCATTAAGGAAAAAAAAAGATTCATGATTTATATTTGTGATCAAATGTTCAGGGTAAATGATTACGACTTCACATTTGTAAATACATATACTGATATAATATAAACATTAGAACGGTAACATATGTGACATTCCAAATGACTTCATGCATATATTCACTGAAGGCTGCTTCTGAATTATTATCATCAACTGTTGAAATTCCAGAGCACTGAATTGTACGATGAAACCATTTTAGGTGTTGTGTTCATAGAACACTAATCAAATTAGTTTCTGTAGAGATAAATACTTCAATGTTTTATAGATGTATCCAATTATAAATTTTAAAATACCAATTAATTTGGGTATATTTATCTCCGAAAAGAATAATCCTAACATGATAATTAAATTTGGTCAAAAAAAACTTTGTACATATATTAAAGTGTAGTTTTCAAAACATTTAATAAACAATGTATTTTTCAAATTTAAAAACCTAAATAGTGTCTTTTGCCAATTATCCCTAAAATTTAATTGATTATTTTTGTATATGGTATCATATTCATTTATTTTGCAAAGTTCCTTTGGTCTAATGGTATAATTAATATGACTAATCCCTTCACAAAGGAAAAAATAATAATTAATATGCCTAGATCAACAACATATATATTTTTTTACCAAAGGAACTTTTGTTTGAAACTAAAAAAGTTGGTCAATCTTTCTTTTTACATTTTTTGGAAAATTATTTTTGAAGTTTAAAAATATATATGAAAATATATATAGAAAAACTTTTTTTTTTAAATTCTAAAACTCAGGGTTGGCTCCGGCGTTTATTAGTAAAACGGATGTGAACCACTGTTTTAGATCTAACATCTCCAATTCAAAAATACATTATATCATCATCGTTTGACTTCACAACTATTGCGTCATCGCTTTTCCTACTGCTAGATTCAGATGGCTTCTTCATGAATTTCATGTTCATTGGAATCTCAGGATATTTAGCAAACGAGGTGAATGTCACACACATATTTACCGAGGTTTTATTTCTAGAGTACCCAACGAAATTTTTGAGCTGACGATCATTGGTGATACTCACTGGTGGAGAACCCACAGTATCAATCAAATCACTAGATAGATAACTAAACTTAACTTTGCAAGAGTGATATTTGATTCAACAACAACTAACCTAGCTCGTTTTCCTTCATTAGCCACAAAAATCCACTTCTTATCTGTCTTGGATTTCCATAAACCACAAGTGACATAGAAATGTAGCATGTTAAACATAGAGAAAATCTGCTTATCAATGGAATAGAAGAAGAAGATAGTGATGATAGCAAAAAAAAGAAACAAAAAACATAAAACAAAAGCTAAAAACCTAAAAAAAATATTAAATATTTTTCGGAAATATTCAGTTCTGGCCAATTTTTCTAGATTTTCTCAGATTCTAGTAGAATTCGTATTCTACATTAATGTAGAATAAAGACTGTATGTAGAAGACTTATTCTACAATAACGTAGAACCTAGTCTAATAAGTAGAAATGATATTCTATGAGAATGTAGAATACATTGTATTCAATAGAACTTGTTTTCTATTTACATGTGGAATATAGTGTATTTGTAGAACTTATATTCTACCATAATGTAGAATATAGTGTAACACATAGAATATGTTTTTCACCAATTGGTAGAATGTTTAAAGACCTATATAAAACGAATTCTACAGCTTGTAGAATAATGAGAGAGAACAAGAAATCAAATTCTACGTAAATGTAGAACATAGAACATGCATTCTCTATTACGTAGAACGTATTTTAAAAATATTGTTTAAATATTTTTTTTCCTTAAATGATTTCCGAGAATATTTTTATTTCATTTTTAGATATTTTAAAAAAAAATTTAAAATAGTTTTGATTTTATTTCTAATTAAAACAGTCATAACTGATTTTAAAGGGAAATTCTGTCAAAAATTAACCCAAAAAAAAAAAACTTTAAGAAGGCAAATGTTAATTGAATTGGCATTATAAAAGCATTCTCTCTAAATTTAATTCCACTAGCATTTGATTTTCTAAAATTGAGAAAAGTAAAACGTTAGAGAGAAAATGCTTAATTACTATATTTTCTTCTATTATCATTATTCTTTTTATCATCCCATTCCTCTCATTCACAACAACTTGTACCTATTAAAACAAAATCTATATCAAAACCTTTAAAAACAAATTGGACCCCAAATATCATAGCCCCGAGGTAGTCGTACCGTTCACCTTCATAGTTGAGCCATTACGGTATATAGTAAGAGTGCAAAAGATGGAGATAAATGGAAGAACTTGTGAGGAACCAACAATGAATTAGCCTAGTGGTTAAGTCCTTGGGTTACCAATAACGTAGGGATCTTGGAGGTCACAGATTCGATTCACTTTGGGAAGAGTCTGCTTTCGAAGGTACATTAGGAGGTATACGGGCCTTGAGACCTAAAACCTCTTAGTCATAATATATATATATATATATATATATATATTAGGAAAGAAAAATTGATAGAAAATAAAAAATAAAGAAAATAAGAAAGAGGTAAACTATATTCGTTCAAGAAAACAGTGTTAATAATACTTTTGCAGTTATATAATACAATGACATTCATTGTTACAACTTCCCTAATGTAAACCTCAAAATTAGTTTTGCTCTTTTGGATCAAGGGTTTTGAACAGTAACAAAGAAAATGTTAGAGAGAATTTTACCGGTTTGTTAGATATGATAAAATCAGACCTTACACAGTTATAGTAAAGAACATATTACATTGAAACTGAACAATAATAAATAACTAGGATATAAAAGCGTGGACACCAACACAAATCAACTCACGATTGTGATTTGTAAGATTAAGAAAATATATGGTGAAAAGATGGTTTTATTTCATGATATTTTTATTAGCAACGAAACTGCCATAGTTAAAGGGTACATTTATGAAGATCAACAGATTAAAAGTTTGTAATTAATAACAACAACAATATTAAGGTTCTGAAGGAGATTGAGAGCGACATCCTCTTGCCGCATACTCTGATGATAAGCAGTCCACATTGCATTCATACATTTTATATGAACCCGTGCATTTATTGAAGCATTTTAGGTCGTTCATTGCTTTAATCTCTGTACATATATACAGAAATTTCACATTCATATAACGTACCAAATTACAATTTCAAAAACTCATATTCTTTTTACAATTTCTCACATTACTCCATGTTGTATATTCTTTTTATATGATAAAAAATATTAATTGCAATAACTATTATATTAAAATAAAACAGACCTGATGCTATAACGTTTTGGGTGTACAACAAAACATCCAATATAACTACAAGAAGAAAAATCGCTAAAATTTTAGCCTAACTCACTTTCTTTTTGTTTAATTTTTGTATAAAGTATGTTGAAGAAAACAAAATAATCTTGAAAAATTTCAGATCTTGAATAAGCCAATTTATAAAACTCTTAATCTTGGAATTAAACACATAAATATCCATTATCTTTTGTTGACCAAGAAAAAACTCCATTGTTTTATTTACTTCAAAATGTCAATATTTACACGATTTTCTCTATAATTACTATATATGTCTTCACATTTGTTAACATCATATTTTAGGTAAGAATATTAAAATTTAATTGATTATTTCTGTATATGGTATCATATTAATTTGTTTTGCAAAGTTCCTTTGGTCTAATGGTATAATTAATATGACTAATCCCTTTACCAAAAAAAATAATAATAATAATTAATATGCTTAGAATCAACAACATATATATTTTTTTACCAAAGGAACTTTTGTTTGAAACTTAAAAAGTTGGTCAATTTTTCTTTATATACTTGCTGGAAAATTATTTTTGAAGTTTAAATATATATATGAAATTATGTAAAAGAACTCTTTTTTATTCTAAAACTCAGAGTTGGCTCCGGCGTTTATTTAGTAAAACGGATGTAAACCACTGTTTTAGATCTAACATCTCCAATTCAAAATTATTTGGCACTTTACCGAATTTTCACAAAATTCTTGTTGAAAAGTGAATTTTAACATTACCCTCTTTTTTTCTTATATTGTAAAGCCCTCACACCTAAATTGCTAATCGGAGGAAGATCAAGGATGTGATGTACTATATGATCAAGTGATCGAGTGAGCAAGTGAAATATCACATTCCTCCATCATTTTTCCCCAAATGAGTCACTAATCGAAGACTAAATGTGTCAAAATAATATACATGTTTCATTGTTACACACTTCATTGACTCTATTTCAGTCTTTTCAAACAAGTACTAGTCAAACAAAAAAATTAGAGCATTTTTTAATGTCTATTACAATAATTAAGTCGGCGTTCAAGACTTTGTTTGTACATTGAACAGAGTGGAGTCACGTTGTGAGTTCGTTGATAGTCACAACTTAACAATGACGCATTATAATATTCAACGACTAATTTATATATAGTTTCTTCAATTTTAAATCACAACAAGAGTTGTAATCACGCTAGATATATAACTCTTTTTGAACCCTCTACTCATTAAAACCGATCGAATTAAGTCAACCATGTATCACAAATTTCAGATCTCCAGTAAAGTTTACAGGGCTCTGGATTTGAAGATGAAGATGCTGATAGCAGTGGCCTTTAGTTGCTTACTAATTGGTTCTATAGTGTTACTATCATTCTCAAACAACTTCAACAACCGACTTCTTAATGCTACAACCAATGGTAACAAAACCATCCATTTTTAGTGTTTTATAGTTAACTCTAAAGAATACTTCTTCTGACTTTATTTTCTTATCATATAGATTCAAAGGAATCCGAAACACCGAGGGATAAACTGATAGGAGGGCTTTTAACAGAGGATTTCGAGGAAAGTTCTTGCTTGAGTAGGTATCAAAAAACTTTGTTGTATCGTAAGCCTTCACCATACAAGCCTTCTGAATATCTTGTCTCTAAGCTAAGAAGCTATGAGATGCTTCACAAGCGTTGCGGTCCAGGCACAAAAGCTTACAAGGAAGCAACAGAGAATCTTGTTCATGATGATGAGGATAAAGCAAGCAAATATGTTGGTGGCGAATGCAGATACATTGTGTGGCTCGCTGGTTACGGGCTTGGAAACAGAATGCTTACTCTTGCTTCTGCGTTCCTCTACGCTCTCTTGACAGAGAGAATCATTCTTGTTGACCAACGCAAAGATGTTAGTGACATCTTGTGTGAGCCATTTCCAGGTACTTCATGGTTGCTTCCTCTTGACTTTCCATTGATGAACTATACTTATCGATTCAACAAGGAATACCCTCGTTGTTACGGAACGATGTTGAACAATCAGGCCATTAACTCGACTTCAATCCCGCCGCATCTATATCTTCATAACCTCCATGATTCAAGGGATGAAGATAAGATGTTCTTCTGCGAAAAGGATCAAAGTTTGATCAACAAAGTCCCTTGGTTGGTTTTTCAAGCCAATGTCTACTTTGCTCCATCACTATGGTTTAATCCAACTTTCCTACCCGAACTAACCAAGCTATTCCCACAGAAAGATACCGTCTTTCACCATTTGGCTCGGTATCTTTTTCACCCCACGAATCAAGTTTGGGGTATGGTCACTAGGTACTACCAAGCTCACTTATCAAGAGCAGACGAGACACTCGGAATTCAAATACGTGTTTTCAGAAAAGACGCTGGATATTTTCAACACGTCATGGACCAGATCGTATCCTGTACACAAAGAGAGAAACTGCTACCTGAATTAGCTACACAAGAAGAATCAAAAGTCAACATATCAAATATCCAGAAGCTTAAAGCGGTTATTGTCACCTCTCTGTATCCAGAGTACTCTGACAACTTGAAGAACATGTTTTGGGAGCGACCAAGTTCGACGGGAGAAATTATTGACGTTGCTCAGCCAAGTGGAGAAAGGTTTCAGCAAACAGACAAGAAGATTCACGACCAAAAGGCGCTAGCTGAGATGTATCTTCTGAGCTTAACCGATAACATTGTCACAAGCGCGAGGTCTACATTTGGATATGTTTCTTATAGTCTTGGAGGGTTAAAGCCATGGTTACTTTATCAGCCAACTGGTGAAATAACTCCTGATCCGGCGTGTGTTCGATCTACGTCGATGGAGCCTTGTTACCTTACTCCTCCGTCTCATGGATGTGAAGCTGACTGGGGAAAAAACTCCGGGAAGATTGTTCCCTTTCTTAAGCATTGTGAGGATATTATGTATGGAGGGCTCAAGCTATATGATGAAGTCTAGTTTATCATAGCTGATTCTATTGGTTTATTGAGTTATTGGAACAGAGGAGCAATGCTATCTATCTCTCTGTTTATTGTCTCTTATAATAATCATCATATTAGTGGATGTTCAGTTTTTAATTGAATAAAAAAGAAAATCATGTTTTGTATACTTGATGAGTAAGATCTACATTTTACAGCTCATCAGTTTGAAATTTGAATAAAATACCAGACATTGAATCTTAGCCCTGCTAAATTAGATATTTGTGTATTTCCCACAGGTTTATCATGAAAGCAAATAACGAAACAGAGCTATAAGTATCTTGCTAAAGAAGTAACTTAAAAAGAGAGCATATATAACACAATAGATTCGCTGCTTCAGCAGCTATTCTCTCTTGATAACATTTTTATGATGAATGAGACGGGCAAAAAATTACAATCTTATAGGGGTCGCTTATTAAGTGAGCAAGAGAGTAAACTTTGGGTTGGCGAGATCATGCTTTAGAAGTTTCAGGAGCTCCAACGAGGCGCTTCCGGATCTATAGAGTTGAGAAAGACAATTAACGAGAGAGATTAGGAAAATGATGAGAAAAGAAGAACAACCCTAAGCGGAAAAGACTAAACCTGAGGTAGCTTCTGTCTGAAGGCAACGTCCAGGCGTGCGTCTAAGGTGTTCTCGCAGACAATCTTGCCGTCTTGAGAGGCTAGAACCACTCCTCCCGAGCTTCTCCATTCATTGTTCATACATAGAACTATTCCGTGAGCGAACAAAAGACAGAGAGACAGAGAAAGAGAGAAAACACAAAGAAAGTTTACCAGTGAGGGCCGTGGGAATCAGCGATTTTAGGATTAGGAGGTGGAGGGAGGAAGACTTTGTCATCGATGGTGATCTTAGGAGAACCAACTTTGGCTTTCTCTACGTACTGTCTTTTAACATCTTCAATAACCGATTCGACAACCCTCTTGTCCATCTCTCTGCATCTCAGCAGCACTGATGGCTCTTTCAGGCGCAGCAAACTCTATGTAAACACAAATACAATACTGATAATGGTAAAGATATATCCATACTGAGTAGAAAAGGATGATAGATAGATAGATACCTCAAGGATGAGACCCTTGAGAAGCTTCTTGTAAGCGTTCTTGTCGTTAGAGACACGGAGAAGGTCTTTAGCCGCAGATTCTTTCATGGAGGTGACAACATCATCCTGTGCTTGAAGGTACTTGATCCTACTTGCATTCAGCTGCGTGGAGTAGTCGCTGCAAAGAAAAAAATGGAATGGACTTTAATCGCAAAGCCTGAACAAGAGGAGGAAGGTGAAAAAAGGTTATTTGCTCTCACATTCGCTTTCGGATATCGACCTGTTTGAGCTTGCGGTCATATTCTTGACGAAGCTTTCGCTTGGAAGTCTCGAGAAGTTGAAGTCTCTCGATGTTGAATTCTTCCTCGGCGGAGATGGAGATCTCGTTAGCTTTCTCTTCCGCTTCTTGCCGGATGAACCGGACCATTTGTTGTATCTGCTTTGACACATCCGCGTCGTTCATCTCTCTCTCTCTTTCTCTCTTTTTCTGTTGCACAGAATAACAATCATTCAAACTCCTTTTTACTATCTTTTATAACTCTTCTAAGAGGAGGTAATCCCCGGTTTTTGGTGCTAAATCTTAGTTTTATGTATGGACCATTGACTCTTTCTTCATACCAAAACACAGCCGTTTAGTTTTAGTTTATGTAAACCACACGTTTTCTCTACATATGTCGATATGCTACGGTAGTGCATAATATCTTTCGACATAATTATTTTGATTTTTGACAAGAAATTGAAAAACAGTGTAACCTTAATTCACTTTGCTTATCGCTTGTTAATACGATTTTCTTAATTGTTTTATATGCATGTTTCATTATTAACCTAGTTCTTGTTTTTGTCTGATTGGCATCTCAAAAACCTCAAAAACCCAAACAAACAATTCTATAATATATATAACGAATATTTGATTAGATGTGATTTGTTTTTAAAATTTTGACGAAGCCTTTATTACAACTTAAAAAAAAAAGACTATACCTAGTGCTTCAACAATCTATAATATAATTAACAGAGTATTCATCAACTACATGCACTTAAACACACGCACATAAAAAGAAATAGATCGATTGCATAAAGTCTGTTATAATGAAAGTAGATCCATCACACAATTTGTTCAAAAACAAAAAGAAGTATCCATCATTCAAAGAGAATCAGAAAGCCTAACTCATTAATAATTGTAACTCCAATATTGCCTTAAACTAAATTAATAAGAAAAAACAAAAAGAGAGGCTAAATTTTTTAGTCAGAAGGGCGTGGAACGGGAAAAACGGTAAACTTCATGTTGTGGTTGCTGCAATATTCACCATCATGCTCCCCCGAGGCAAAGAAGTAAGGCTGAATTTTCTTTAGCGTAAAATTGAAGCTTTCTTCTGATCCTTTCTTGGTCGAACCAATCTTCTTTCCATTCTGGATATCGCAATTCACGTAACTCCATGGGTCTTGGAACAAATACACATTGTTCCTTCGCTTGGCATGCTTGTCGTACTTGAAAACTGCACCATATATAAAAAAATTTGTTCATTAACATAGATTAAAATTATTCAACATATGGTATAGTATCTTTAACCAAATCAGTTTACTTACCAAGAACATCATCAATATAGAAAGGAGCATTCTTGGAAGCCCACTCTTTGTAATCCAATCCTTTTCTCCATCCGTCGGGTCCACCCACAACGATCTTTTTTGGCGCTTCACTGCCCGAGACCGAGCCAGAACTGCTTGGCGCTTCACTGCCCGAAACCGAGACCGAACTGCTTGGCGCTTCACTGCCCGAAACACAGCCCGAACTGCTTACATCGTTATGGTCCGAATCCCAACTCCAACTCCAGCCTGACCTAGGATTCCAGCTCCAACTCCATCTTGAACCATCAGGGTTAGTACCCGAACCTGAGCCCGAGCTACTTGACCCATCGGAACCCCAGCCCCAGCCCCAACCATAGCCATCAGAGCTGGAACCTGAACCTGAGCCCGAGTTTTCTGAGCCGTCGGATCCCCAACCCCAGCCCCAACCAGGGATCGAACCCCAACTCCAACTTGAACCGTCAGAGTCTGAACCAGGACCTGAGCTAGAGCTGCTTGACCCATCGGATCCCCAGCCCCAACCCGACCCGTTGCTCCAACTCCAGCTCCACGCCTCTGCCCCTGATGAGGAGAGACATGCAAAAGCCAAGGCGAGTAGGAGCAGCTTCTTATTTTGTGAGCCAGAGAGAGCCATCGTTTTTCTCTTCTTCTTACGTTACGTGCTTCGTTTGATAAAAGATGAGAGAGCTTTGTTGTAACTTTGCTTTGTTAATGATGGTTTCTCTGAGGGTTATGAGACTCGGTATTTATAGAGATGGGTAACTCAAATAAGGATATCATATTTCCATATTTTATTCTACCCTTTATTTTTGATATCCTAATTAGATAAGGAGAAGGATTTACTTCTTTCTTCTTCAATTTTTATTTTCTCTTAAAGAGGGATATATTTAACATTTTTATTGTTTGTTCTTCCGTTATAATACGATAAGGAATCTATATAGAATTTAGAAATACACCGGTCGAAGATAATTACGGTAGCTGAAGAGTATATCATCACTTTATTCAAGTATTTACCCGTGTGTTGTAAAGACTCTTAGCCAAAGACAGGGTTTTTCACTGTCGTCTCAGTAAGAGCATGTACATTAGTGAACCCATCTTAAAAATTTATTAGAATATAATACTATTATTTTTTGGTTTTGAGTTTAAAGAAAATCTTATGCTAATTTCTGGATTCTATTGGTGAATCCAAAAAAAAAATATTTTCTTTTTTAAAAATTAATACTAAAAAAACAACAATTTTCAGAATTTAAACCAAGAAAAAAGCAACAAAAATAGAAGACCAAAATTCCTCACTGTAAGCTTCTAGAATAAGTTCTAGAATTAGTTCTTCGCTGTTGTCTCTCATCCTCTTGAAAGCTTCTAGAATAAGTTCAATATCTGAGAGATAGAGAGATAGAGAGGAAAGATTCCAAAGTTAGGAGGAAACGAAGGGTGATGCCTCCTCTGATGACTTCTTGATCATTTCAATATTTCATCTTCTTAATTGTAAATCTAATTAGACTTAGGTACTTCAAACAAAAAGATAAACAAGATTCATTCATTTTCCTCACATGATACAACAGATCAAAAACAGAATACAATAAACAAAACAAAAAAAAAACAAAAGAACAGAAGAAAATCAAATAATAAACTGATAGATATGAATCATATATTGCTTACAGTTTTTAACTTTTACTTGATGTTGTACAAGGAATTGGCAAGACCAAGGAATCAGCAAATCATTTGAGCAAATAAAGCCTTATTGATCATAAAGAAAAGGATACAATACAAGGATCATATTGACTAGAAACTGAATAATTAAGAATAAGAGATGACACAAGTGAAACTACCTCTTCCATTAAAGCTATAATGTTTCACACTTTCACCGAAGAAGAATCTATAGTTTGCACAAGTATTTCATGTTGTATCTCTTCGTGATCAGTTCTCTTCGTGATCAGATCAAACAAGTTTGGATTATAGAGAGCCATAAACTTACTTCTTATTCTATCTCAGCCTTAAATTTTCATCAGAATCTTTCCACCTCAACGATGATCGTTTCTCAGTTTCTTCTATCTCAGCCTTACTTCTTCTTGGTCCAAGACCAGCAGAAACAGGCAGTTCCTCTTCTGCATCCTTCCCGCACGCTTTGGCGACAAGAACCAACTCGGAGACGGCACTTTTAGCCGCATTAGCTCTTCGTGAAAGATGCTTTTCTCTACAAGCATCAACCATGGAGCCATGGAGGGCAGAACGAGAAGCTACTCTGTTTTAAACTGAACAAACCCAAACCCAGAAACATGAAACAAAGGAACTATCAGGAAGTGGTTCATCAATTGCAAAATAAGAATACAATTCTGAAAAAAACCAAAATCGAACAATCTTGGAGAAAAGCGAAAAATTACTAGGTGTGAATCAACACAGAGATGATTACTTATCAAATTACCCTAATATCGCTTACACCAAAAATCTCCAATTATTTCTTCAAACCAAAAACTCTAATTTCAAACTATAATTCTACAAAACCCTAAACAGAGACTTACCTTGATGATGGGAAAGGATACTCGATGCTCGGATTACAACTCCACCGGTGAATTTTACGGATGCTTTGACTGATTGAAAATCGTCGGAGAAGATGACGAGAAGAGAAGAAAGAAGCGATGAAATGAAAAAAATTTCAGCCCGAGGAAAAAAATTTCCACCCTCAAAATTACATATTTTTTCGCCTAATTATGTTCTACCATGTCACAAACAGACGGTATCATCAAGTTCATTGGGACAAACCGGCTCTTCAAGTTTGGTTTTTTTTTTTCCTTTTTTTAATTTATTTTGCCTATGAATCCGAACCATGAACCCCAGGAGACCTGGTCTAAACCCGTGAGGAGCCCATGAGAAACCCATGAAAAGCACGTGAGGAGCACGTGAGGAACACGTGAGTCAGTTAGAAGGTGAAATTTCAAAAGTAATTTACACACTTTGTGTACTTAATTATTATTATTTTTTTAATTACCACGAGATTCTGGGCCAAAACCTGTAATTTCCTAAATCTGAAACCACAACATGTAATATATAGTTTCGTCCCAAGAGCTATTCAAATCAGCAATTTCTAGACTTTTTGCCTGAGATTTTTACCAGTTGAACTATTGGCTCTTAGTTTATGTATTTATATAACAAAAAGATACTTTCAATTATTTTCTTTTCTTTTTTTTTTGTCGATGATCCATCTGCTTTAGTCAAGTTTTTATCGATAAGATGATGATTCCGTAGAGTCATCCCTATTGATTCTGTCTGACTTATATGGGAGAACAAGATACCGCACGATTGTGCCTCTTTAGCAAGAAAATCAACTCGGACGATTAAAGTTCGGGAAATATGGATGATGTTGAAAGTCTCAAAAGTCTCACGAATGTCCTAGAACACATCTAATTCTGATGTGAAGGCCGGCCAATCCATCGAGTTTTCAGTCTCTACTAAATTGGAGCAATCTGTCTAGATATGAATCAAAGAGAAATGTCTATCTCTTAGGCATAACATAACCTAAAGAAGAGCATCCATCTCCGCATGAAGTGCTGAGAGTCTTCTGCGGCAGCCTCGGAGTGCAAAAACCTCTTTTCCCATGGTATCCCTATGGCTCCACCCTAGTCCACTAACTGGTCCATGATCTATCCAAGAGGCATCGATCTGAAAATTTGGGATTTGGGATACCAAGGGTAGAGAATAGAGGTGTCGTGATACTGTGGAATCTCCCTCTCTTTTTCACATTCTTTTTGGTTTACTATCCTCCAGCTTTCCGCCTCAAGTGAAGCTAATTGGAGTGTCTTCATTGTAGGAGTATCTTTTCCGTTAAAAATCTTGTCGTTCTTTACTTTCCATATGTACCATATGATCCAAGGGAAGATGTCTCTTCGTGGTTCAACAAGACCCATTTATTTTGTTCTCTAAAATAGGAAATCCATATTTCGGTAAATAGATGTACCTGGGAAGAAGCTCGGAAGGGATGGAAAGTCTGATAAAGCCCAAAATTGTAAAGCTGGGAGACATTGAAAAAGAAAATGGTTGATAGATTCTTCTAAGCTCACACATCTAGGACAACTCTTGTCATTGCCTAGGTGTCGATAAGTCAATCTTTCACAAGTCACCACACATCCTGAGAGTGCTTGCCACATGAAATGTTTTAATTTTCCTGTTGTGCAAATTTTCCACACATGACTCTGGAGGTATGTGATACTTGGTTCAGTAGCCTCCTCAAGATTTCCCGGTAAGTTAAATTCCAGAATAAATCATAACCGGATTTCACCGTATAAGAGCCTGATTTGGTATGATTCCATGCGTATCCATCAAGGGAAAAATTTCGACTAGGTCTCAACCCAAGGATAAGTGGGACATCCTCAGGTTGGAAGTATTCACAAAGAAGGGGGACGTTCCACTCTTTTGTATCTCGTCTAATGAATGAATGTACCATGAGCTGAGGGTGTCGATGGCTGACCCCGGCAGAAGCTCTCGCGGGTCGAGCAGGCATATCTGGGATCCAAGGTTCACAACAGACTCTTGTATCAAAACTCGCTCCAATAGTCTTCCTTAAACCAAGATTTACAAAGGGTTTTTCAGCAAGAATACTACGCGACCCATATGATGGTGAGTAGACTGTCCTATCTTCAAGAGGACATGATCGATTATAATATCTGCCATGTAAGACTCTAGCAAGTAAGGACGAGGGAAACTGAATGAGTCTCCACAATTGTTTAGCAAGTAGAGCAATATTAAAATCATGGAGGTCTCTAAATCCCAATCCACCTCTATCTTGGAAAATACATATTTTATTCCATGCAATCTAATGTATACTCCCGCTATTTTGCTTGGAACTCCACCAGAAGTTTGATATTGCGCTTTTTAATTGATTAATAATTCCTTTTGGTAGCAGAAAACACGACATAACATATATCGGAAGTGCTTGGGCCACAGATTTTATTTGGATCTCTTTTCCTCCCTTCGAAAGAAGTCGTGCTGACCAAGAGTTCACGCGATTATTGAGACGTTCTCGAACAAAGGAGAAAACCTTTTTCTTTGAGCCGCAAATCTATTCAGGGGTTCCCAGATACATCCCCATGCCACCTTCTGTTGTAATACCAGTAATTGTTTTTATATCTTGTCTTTTATTCTGGTCAACCTTATTTCCAAAGACTATAGAAGATTTTGCTGCGTTTGGTCGCTGTCCCGAGGCGTTGCCATACATGTTTAGAATTTTCAGAATCTCTGTACATTGCCTAACCTCTGCTTTACAGAAGAAAGCTATCATCCGCGAACAATAAGTGAGAAATCTGGGGGCTTGCTCGAGCGACACGCAAGCCCATGATACATTTCTCTTCTTCCACTCAATTAAGGAGGGAGATTAGCGCCTCTGTACAAATAATGAACAGGAATAGTGAAAGAGGTTCTCCTTGTCGTAAACCTCTTGTGGGTTTGATCTTGCCTCTCGGTTCTCCATTTAATATAACCTGGTATGAGACCGAGGTAATGCAACACATCAGTAAGTTAACCCATTGATAACACCGTATTTTGACCACTTTTATGGATCGTTTTGAAATATTTTTTCTATGTTTTTAATTGCTTTCAAGTACTTTTATTACATTTTTCTAGTATTTGTAGTTCCAAGACTCTTTTCAGGTAACTTAGGGAAAAGCTTAACAAAATGGATAGAAAACCAGATTTCAGCTCATAGTCAAACCATCAGAAGTTCACCCCTGATTGAAGGCCTTCTCACCGTCTGATCCAGCTCAAATTTGGAGATCTTAAATATGGAAGTATCAGCTTTCCAACACACTTTACAGCTTGGCAATCCAACGGTTCAATCAAAAGATACGCGAAGAGCAAGATGTCCCGTAAACCAGCCGGCAAGCATTTCCACCCGCGGCCAACAAGCAATTTCCCGCGGTCAGAAGCACCGCGACCGCGGCCAGAAAGCCTGATGTGATACTGAACAGCATCAAGAAAGGAGAGCTTGAACCAGAGAATGGAGCTAAGGATCAGCTTGTAGCCGAGAGATATTGGTCTAAAAACAAAGGAGCTAAGGCTAATAAGCTCAAGGAAGGCATTGGCGAGATACCTACTTATCTATGGAACAAAGAAGATCGCTTGAGCCAGGCTGGAGAAGATGGATTACAAACCACACTGGTTTTGATTCAGGCTCAAGTAGATCAACAATTGGGTAAGTGGCCCAGTTGTACTCTTTTTCCCTTACCTTTGGTTTTGTCCCAATGGGTTTTCCAAAAGAAGGTTTTTAAGGAGGCAATGGTGTCTACTTCTCTCAAGGCCTAATTGTTGATTCAAGGACTTAAGCCCAAGACAAATTTTGTCCAAGGGAAGTTCAAGAGGCTGGAGAAGTGACTTGAAGAGTTATTCAAACTTTGCATTTATTTCCTTGTCATTTTCGAGTTTGCCTTATTTTTCTACATTTCTTCTCTTTAAATAATCTTGTAATCTCTTATGAGAACTCATCCTGGATTGGATCATCAAACTTTTATCAAATAAAACTCTCTCTTTCTCTTATCAAACCTGGACGAAATCTTTTGTCTCTTTGAGAGTGATTCGCTGCTTGTGCAGCATCTTTATCATCTCTATTCTCTTTGTTTTCTCCTGAGAGTGAATCTTCTGCAGCATCTTTTTTCATTTCTCTTCTATCTCTTGTGATCAAATTAAACTCTGAACAGCAACCTGATCTATTAATCTCTTCAAACAGAAGTCTATTCCGCAAACTTCTGTCCCTGATATATATCTTACCAAGCTTCTGAGTGCCGATCCTTGGGAGGATCACATCAAGTGGTATCAGAGCACACTTAGAAGTTTCTTTGGTAGTCTCTATCCTTTCTCATCTTTTCATCTTCTTAATTTCGTGTCTGCATCTGTTCATCTTCTATTTTCGTTTTAGTTCTCTTCAGAAAAAGAAAACCCATAAAAATCATTTTAGATCTGTTTAGTTTGCATCATAAGCCTCTAAATCTAGTGTTTGTTTGCCCCTGCATCACGTTTTTTATCCCTGGTTTTGTTTTGTCTTTTCATCTTCTCTGCATAAGATCTGCTCATATTAGTTTGTCTCTTCAGCTTCTATCATCAGATCTCATCATCGGCCATATCTGTGTTTGTTTAAAAATAAACCGATCATATTCTAGGGCTTTTGATTTCTTGTGGTACACGAAGAATCACTTTTGCATTTTAATCTATTGTGAGAACTAGTTACTGGTCTTGTTTTCTGTTTTGTTTTTCAGGTCACAATGAGTGAAGAGCAAGGAGACAACAGCCACAATAGCAACAAACTCTTTATGGAAGCTATGATGGCTCGGTTTGAGCAACTGATGAAAACTCAAGCAGAAGAACTACATCAGCGAATTGATCAGCTACAAGGAGAACCTAATCCGAGGGGGATTCAAGACAGATATACCAATGGAGTTCATGTCCAGCAGAGACAGCCTAGAAATAATGTTGGTGATGATAATTCTTCACAAGGCAGTCCAAGACGTGGAAGAGGAGCAAGGGAACGTGTTGATGATGACATGAGAGGCATGAAGCTGAAAGTTCCTCCTTTTCATGGCAAGAATGATCCAGACGCTTATCTGGAATGGGAGAAGAAGGTCGAGATGATCTATGATTGTCAAGAGTATTCAGATCTCAAGATGGTGAAGCTAGCTACTACAGAGTTTTATGGTTATGCCATAAACTGGTGGGATCAGATCACAACAAGCCGCAAACGAAATTGAGAGCCGCCTGTTGATACTTGGGATGAGTTGAAAGCACTCATGAGGAAACGCTTTGTCCCTAGTCATTATCATCGG